GTAAGTAAGTAAGTAAAGTTTTATTTATCAAGCACCTTTCACAGAAATATATTCACAAGGTGCTGTACAAACATTCACAGCAGAAAAATAGCGGAAAGAATAAAAATGAAACAGAAAAACATATTACACATAAGCAACAAAAATTGAAACATCGAATCAAGAATTAATTTCTAAAATTGTAACTCAAAACACAAGGTCAATGCAGGGCAAAATATACAATAATACACAAAAACATAATGAATGCAAGAAAGAAAAATATGGCTTAAGTTCAATAATAAAAAAACAGATTTTATTCTCATAAGGCTCTGTGTCCAGATTCAAAAACTATTGAGTTTTAAAATTGGACCACCCATTAAGGATTTAGAGGTCTTTAAAGGCTGAAAATTAGGAAGCAAGTGCTCCATTGACTTCCATTATAACATAAAAAAGTGCGGAGCTCCGTAGACATAGTGCGCTTCGCAATTTTGCAACGATCTTTCAAACCAAAACGGAAAGCAAAATAGATAAACCCCTATAGATTTCGAAATGCTAAGTGGAGGGCAAGCATGAAAACAAGTGAAAAGGTTACAAAAACCTGACCCACGCATTGCCGGGATCGGGCAGTGCATTTATCAGTGTCCCTATCCACAGCACATGTTTTGAGCTCAAAATAACATCTTTGCTGAAAATTTTGGCAATAGTCGTTTTGAGCCAATAATGTTAGCAAAATACCTCATGAACCCCTGGTCAGTTCAATGAAAGTTTCAAAACGTAATCACAGGAAGTACATCAACAGATTAACTGTTGCGATTAATCCAAGATGGCCGCCACAACCGACTGAACACAAAAATGGCTCCAACTCATTTGACATTATAGATATTAAGGTAAAATGTGGTGTGGTTGTTGTTGAGAGTCATCCTCAACACACACTCTGAGCACAAATTTCTCCGTTCCCAAAAAACTGGCAACCCATTTGATAGTATGTTATTGTTATATTTACAGAAATATTTGGAGARTGTAGAGGCTTGGTGGTCAGTGCTGCGGTCTCGTAATCCTGAGGCTGCGGGTTTGAGACCAGGTTTTGTCAGGAAGGGCATCAGTGTAAAACATTTGTCAACTATACCATGTAAGAATACTCTCTGTAGTGAAGCCCTAGAAAAGAAAGAAAAACTAATTTACTGGATTGTTTCACTACAGTAACACTGTCAAAACAGTTACAGGTATGAGAATTTAACTGATGCAAAGTAATCAATATGCTTTTTTAATACTATTAACACCGCTCTAAGCCAACTTTTATAATGTGACCAAAAAACACAAAAAGCTCACAAACGTAGTTTCTAAACTTTTCTCGTTAGAAGGTGAAGACTGCAATGCTGTAAGCAAAAGATAAACACAACATTGGAGTTGAAGAGGCAGTTCTATGTACTGTACTGTATGTCACATAAAAGAGAGTAATGAAGGGAGGGATCAGTGAATGTTTTCTGCATCATAAATGACTCAGAGATGTTTACGTCCATCTTAATCTGCATCAACTCATATAAAAAACAGAAAAACTTCACCAAACAACCAAAATGAGAAAAACTGAACACAATCAAGGGTAAATACATGTTAAGGTTAACAAAAAAAAAAAACAGTAATCCAAAAACACCCACAATAGATCGGGTTACAACAAATAAAGTAGCTTAACTACAAATTCCCACAGTTTGTTGAAGGAAACATTGGAGGCATGATACGAGTGTGTGTTTGTGTMTTTGTGTAATGACAACATTACCTCATGTTTCATCAGATTATGATATGATCTGAGTCACACTGTGATTTTATTCAGAGTAACCTGTTTATGATAAGGAATCTGACATACAGTATGTGTTGAATGTCATTCCTAGTCCGTTTTCATCACCCTCGTGTCCTGAGATAACCTGTATGCATTTAGTCCATCACTTGTTTTTATTTAGTCCATCACACCTGTTATTGTCTCGACATGTCTTCACCCAGACTCAGCCAGTCACCTGTTAAGTCCCTGTTTAAATCTGATCGCACTAAATGTCTCCCTCAGCCCACGTGATAAAAAACTAAACCATAGGTGGCAGATTAGCAGTCGTACTCTTTTCCAGAACAAAGCCTGGTCAGCTGAGAAGTTTTATCACAGATTTTACAGCTGCTGGGACAAATGAAAAATGCACTTTAAAGGGACTTTTGGAAACTTTTAAAGCGGGGTCCTGTGGATAGACTAGTTGTTGTTTCAGCTGCTCTCCTCTGCAGGAGTCGCCACAGCATGAAAGACTTGATGTCCTTCCTGACCCTACCTGGATTCAGACCTGCAGCCCATGGTACCGACCACCGAGCTACTGCAGCCACCGTTCTGTGGATAGAATATGAACAGTTAACATCTTACCTGCTGTAGATAGCGCTTTGAACAAACTCAACTTAGAGAAACAGATTTGAACTCAGACCGGATTGATGAGCTAACGGCTACAGTGGATTGTCAAACGTTTCATAGCGGTTCTTGCTGACACTGTTTGACAAGCATTTACAAATAAATCAGTTTCACATTAAATGATTATTCCAAGAAAAAGATTCTGATTTTCTTACAGGAAATGCTACAGCAGGCTGCTACTGTAATATGAAACAGAAGTCAGTAAAAAGTTTCCAATAAAGTGTTTACATGAATCACTGTGAAACGAATGAGACTAGAGTTGCTTTAAGACAGCAGCAGTTCACTTTGGTCTCTTGGCTCTTGTCTTCTCAGTCAAAAAAAAAAAAAKCCCTAAGCTCATGCAAATATATTTTACTTGTCATTATTGCATGTTCCCATACAATACCAATAACGAAGTCTGTGCTCTGCATTTGACCCATCACTCGTGAGAAACAGCCAAGTGGAGCAGCAGGCAGCTACAGTATGTAAGTGCCCGGGTTGCAGTTAGGTGTCTTGCTCATGGACACCACAACATGTGGGCATGGCGGGGAGTTGAACCTGTGACTTTCCAACACGTTCCCACTCTCGACTTGTCACCATATTGATGCTTGGTCAGGTACCGTGTGCGTTCAGTTTTGCCGCGTCAGGTAACTCCCTCGTCTCGCGTCAGTTATTCACGCCCGCGGCTTTTCTGGGTAACCTGGGCCACATAGGGGGTCTTTGGGTTGGGGGTCTGTCGTTAATATGAGGGATCAGGCTTACTGGTTAATTTTAGGTACTGGGGTCAGGGATAGGATGTGTACGGTTAATGGAAGTTAGATTTAGGGTTTGGGACAGTTAGTTCTTGTGCATTCTCTACACTTTCAAAAATAGTTATAATGAGGGATCATGGTTAACGGTTAATTTTAGGTACTGAGGTTCAGGGATAGGATGTCTAGGGCTAATAGAAGTTCAACTTAGGGTCTGGGATGGTAAGTTGTCATTCATTTCCTACTCTTTTCAAAAATATGACAACGCGCTCCTCCTCCTCCATCTCATCTCGTTAATAACTGACGCGAGGAGTGTACCCTCACGTACCCGTTTTTTGTGTGTGTGTGTGTTGAAACACTTTGTGATCCCTATCTTGAAATGTGATATACAAATAAAGTTTTACTTATTTACTTACTTACTTACCCAACACGTCTAAAACTGGACGCAGATGGTACCTGACCAAGCATCAATATGTGACGAGTTGGMAGTGAGAATGGGTTGGATTTTCTGGTCCCAAGTCAGCTGCCCTATCACTACACCACTACGCTGTCCGACTCAGGTCAGGCAGGGATTCATTTCAGGGATGGGCAATGGTGGCCTGTGAGCCGGATTTTGGCCCACAGGTGACTTTCATCTAGCCCACCAATGAGTAATTTTTCATGATTTTTTTTTTTTTTTTTACTTCAAGAAAAACAGCTCTTAGAAAAAAATTAAAACACTATTTTTTTGGGAAAGCAGACCTTTTCACAGAAATTCAAGTCAAATGTTTAGTGTGGTTAGAGATGCTGTCTGCCATAAAGGATTTTGATATAGGTCACCACTACAACATGTTGCACAAAGCTGAATATGAGAAGTTTGTTTAAACAACAGCAACTTTTTACTAGAACCACAACCAGCACTCAAGGTTTCTAATATTGTTGCATGTCAGCTTGCTAAAGTGGGA